ACTCGGGGCAACCCTGAACTCGGGGGGAACCGGGACGGGGAATCCTGTACTCGGGGGAGTCGGGACCGGGGGGAGCGCTGAACTCGGGGGGAGCCGGGACCCCGGGGGAGCCGGGACCGGAGGAGCACGGACTCGGGGGGAGCTCCAAACCCGAGGGGACCCCTGAACTCGGGGGTAACTCTAAACTCAGGAGGAGCCCTGAACTCGGTGGTAGCCGGGACCCAAGGGGAGCATGGACCCAGGGGGAGCCCTCAACTCAGGGGGAGCCTCAACCCCGAGGAGAGTCCTGGACCCAGGGGGAGCACTGGCCCGGGGAAAGCAGGGATCCCGGTGGGGAGCCGGGACCTGGGAGGAGCCGTGAACTCGGGGGGGGAACCGGGACCCGGGGGGAGCCCCATACCCGAGGGTAGCCCGGAGCCAAAGAGGTGCCCCGAACCCGAGTGGAGCAGGACCCAGGCAGGAGCCCCGGCCCGAGGGGAGTAGAGCCCTGTAGAGAGCCCCTGCCCCACGGGGGAAACCCGGCCCCGAGGGGAGCCCCAACTCCCACTGGGTCTGCACAGCGCTGAGCACCCTGGGCTCTGCCTGGCCTGTCTGATGAGGACGCTTTGCTTTGGGGTTGCTTCTGCCTTTTCCCCTCAAATCCACCAATTCCCTGCCTCCCACACCCTCCATCCCACTTCATGGAGGCAAAACTCACCTGTGAAGCAGCCCCCGAGCGTGGCGAGCAGCAGGGTGAGGGGCAGGGCGCCGAGCTGGATGAACGCTTGGTCAGTGACCGTCCGGCTGCCCTCGGCCACCAGCGGGAACACGAGCTCCAGCCTGCAAGCCAGAGAGGGGACAGGGTTTGGGGACAGGCTCTGGGTGCTGTAACAGAGCGTGTGTGGAGCAGCCCTGATCTTAGAGGTGATGGTGGCCCCAGATTGCTGCRTCAAGCCAGTGGCAGCCCCGATTCTGGCTCTTCTCACCTGTCACCATAAGTGTCTGCGGTGGCCAGCAGCGTCAGCAGCGTCCCCAGCAAGGACCCCAGTATCCCTGGCAGCCCGTGGTTGTTGTGAACCCCACAGGCATCGCGGATTTTCAGCCTGGAGTACAGGACGGGCTGGGGAGAGCGTAGGGAAGGAAGGGTGCTGGGATGGGGAGGCTGCACTGCAGCTCCGTGTTTGTGGGTTTGGGAGATGCAGGTGGGCCATGCAGTTGTCCCCAAAGACACACACAGTCCCCTGAGCAGGGGTCAGTGTCCTTGGCTGTCCCAAGCTGACTCACCRTGAAGAATCTGAAGCCAAGCAGGGAGATGAGGCCAGCCAGGAATCCTGCAATAAGGGCCCCAAATGGGGTGATCAGCATCTCCCCAGCCATACCCATCACGGCCATGCCAGCCAGGGTGGCATCCTGGATCAGAACCTGGTGGAGCAGCACATGGTCAGGGGAACYGGTGCCATGAAGGACAACAGCATGGGACTGTGGGAGGTTGTCTTTGCCAGGGATCAAACTGGTTTTTAGCAAACCTAAGAAAGCCTAAAAGGCATTCCCTTTTGCCCTGGGCGTGTCCAGGCTCACCATCCCTGCAGGACAGGATGTGGGCAGTCCAGGAGGTTTGGGTTTGCCCCAAGACCTACCATCCTCGGGGTTCCCTCCTGGTAGAGGACAGGAGAGAGGATGAAGGTAGCCACGGTGCTCACCACCAGGGTGAAGTAGGTGTTGAGCACTGCCCAGTTCTCAGCATCGCCATGGGCTGTGCTGGCAGAGGTGACACTGGGCCAGAAGATCCACAGGTAGATGGTTCCTGTAGGGAGGTAGAACAGGCAGGTCTTGATGCTGGGGTTGATCCCCTGTGGGACAGAAACTTCTCGAGAGTGCTGAGAGATGCAAGTGGGTGCAATTTGTGGCAGGRGAGGTTTAGATAGGACAAGAGGAAAGGCTTTTTGTCTTCTGGGTGGTGGGGCAGCCCTGTGACGTGTTCCTGGGGAAATGGAGGACATCTGTCCCCACCAGGATCAAAGCCACAGCCTCGCTGTCCTGATACTGGTGACAATCCTTCCATCACCAGCTCTGTGACTCAGGTGTTGTAGGATTTGAGCTTCGTACCAAGCACAGCGAAGACATCAGGCTGGGCTCCCATGTCCTGCCACTCCTCCCTCTTCCTCTTGTCCTTGTGGGGCTGGTACAAGATTCGTGAAACCATCAAGCCAAAATAAGCACCAAAGGTGTGGAYGGTCAAGGAGCGTCCGCTGTCCCTGACCTGAGTATGGAAAAGCATCATGCAGGRGGTGGGGATGAGRGATTTGTCTCYCCAGACAAGACAGACCTTGAYATGAGGAGCCTGAAGCCAYGGCCGCTCCCTTTCTGGTGKCTCCCCYCAGTCAGTGACTCACCCCCATGAGRCTGAGCAGGATGTATTCATTGAAAGTGCACAGGATGACTTCCAGCAGGGCCAGCAGCAGCGTCTGCACAGGGTTCAGCCTGCCTAGGACAGCTCCCATGGAGATCAGAACAGCTGCGGTGCAGAAGTCGGCACTGACCATGCTGGGAGGGAGAGGGAAGGTGTGAGACTGGACCCAGCACTGCCAGGGACGAGCAGGGAACTGGGGAGAGCTGGGAGGGGACAGCAGCTGAGCCCACAGCCCAGACCCTGCAACCCACTGCTCCTGCAAGCTGAACAGGCAGCCCGAGCCTTGTGACACTGGTGACAAAGGGACAGCTGGGCTTGAGGCAGGTGGGGGCACCCTGGCCGGTTGAACCCTGGCCACCCTAAATGCCCGGTTGAAACCTTGGCAGAACTTACTCATCCCTTACTCACACAATCCCGGTCCTACTTATCCTCAAAATCCTCCTCCAAAGCAGAGCCACCAGTTTTACAGAGGAGGGAGCCAGTGTGCCAGGGCTGGGCTGGGATGAACCGTCTGGGCTGCAGCAGCTCCCTCCKGCCTTACCTCTGAGCTCCCACGGAAATTTTGCCGTTGAGGAAGAAATTCAAAAAGCCCTGGGTCAGAACRGCCCACTGGATGGCAAAGGCTATGATGAGGATGCTGATGGCCGCACTGCCCGGCCCGTAGCGGCCRAGGAATGCCACCAAGAGCCCGAAGCTGAGCAGGACTTGGCTGTGGACATCCTGGAAACCTGGTGGAGGAGAGGCAGAAAGATGGGTGTGGAGGTGCTGAGGACAGGGATCGAGACACCCCCTGCTCCAGCAGACTTTGGGGAGATGAAGGATCCCTCCACTGATGGTGGATGATCTTCCTTGGGGATCTGGGATGTGCCAGTGACAGCTAAAGCCAGACCTGCCTCATGTGTCCCAGTCACCCTTTGTGGTGGCTTCTGGTCACCCCATCTGCAACTGCCCTGTCCAGRCATCTCAGGACACTCACATGGCTCACTCCACAGCCCAAAAACCTCCTGGGGTGGCCCAGGGCTGTGTGCACCCACTAGACCAGCATGAAGGTGGGTCTGAGATGTCAGCACCCCTGGGACCTCACTGCTGTCCCTGAAAACATCACATCCCAGTTTATGGGATGAGGAGAGTGGAAGGATGAGCAGAGAAATGGGACCAGTCTGGTACCATTTGGTGGCAAAACAAAGGATGGGGGACTCGATTCAAAATGCCCTTTGCATCCCCTTGTGATGACAGCTGGGTCCCGTCCTTGTCCGTGAGTCACTGCCTGGGTGGGGTTACGTGGGCAGGAGAAACCGGGAGAACCTGCCGGCTGCCAGCTGCCATCTCCCTGCCCAGCAGCTCTGCTCGCTCCCCTCCCTCGGCCGGAGATCTCTGAACCTCCTTTCCCACCTTGTCTTTGCCTCAGAGAGCCAGGGGCAGCCCCTTATCCCGGGAGGAGCTCTGCAGYGATGCCCAGCACACAGAAGAATGTCCCTACATATCCCCAACTCCCCTTTGGAGCAGCACCTGGGAGCCAAATCGTCTGTGGAAGGGGCTTGTAAATCCCCTGGCACTGCGAAATCACGGGGGGAAGGAAGCACAGCAGGTCAGGGGGAAGCTTTGCAGACCCCAAGGTGCCAGAAGAAGCTGCCGTGCTCCCTACCAGGCACGGGAGGATGATCTCTCATTTTTCACTGCACTCAGAGCCCCCCTCTGAGCCCCAGCTGCTGTAATACATGTCCTACAGCCAAAAATCCCTCTTTTGGGGCTGGCTCTGTGCAAGCATTTCAGAAATCCTTGCTTTATCCCTTCTGGGATGCACCAGCACCCCAACCCCGCAGCTTGATGCTCCCTCTCTGTTTAACTCCGGAGGCTGGGACAGGTCTGCAGCCCGAACTGAGCATGGTGACACCAGTGCCGCCGTACGGGTGTGCGGGTACTCACGGGGGTGCTGCAAATCCTGGTTTCTCCGGCTGCAGTTCAGCTGMGGGGGACAGTGGCCGGAGCTGCTGTCGGAGCTGTAGCGGACAAACACGGCGAAGAGGAGGATGTTGAGGATTTGGAGGAGGAAGCACAGCCCGGAGAAGCAGAGCCTGGAGGCAGCTGCGTGCTCAGGCATGTCGGGGGGCAGGTGAAGCCCTGCGAGAGGGGTGCATGAGGAGAAACACCCGGCTGGGGCTGCAAACTCCGCCTGCCAGGGCGGCTGCCAGGTGCTGCTGTCCCCTCCCGCACCTCCGAGAGGCTGCCGGGAGCGGGACAGCGCTGCCAACACGGAAATTCGGGGCTGGATGCCCTGGCACGCCCCTRCACCTGGCACCTTCCCCTGTGCTGGGCAGTGTGGAGTCAGTGTCCCTCTCTGCTGGGTGGAAGAGGGGCAGGAGGAGTTCTGGGGGTGTGCATGAGGTTTCAGCCTCTGCTTTGAAGAAAAATGGTGTTTTTAGCGACTGGGTCAGGCAGGAGAGGTGGAGGGTGATGCACAAGCTGGCATCTCCCACTGTGAGGTGATGTCTCAGCAAAGTCCCACAAAGCTAGTAGGCTCAAAACTCCCTGGTCAGAAGGAAAAATGAGGCTTGGGGAGCTTTGGGGATGAGCTTTCCTGTGGAACTGTGAGGGGAGAAGGAGAAGCTGAGCCTTGAAAAGCMAGAGCAAGGAGCAGGGTCAGAAGCTGCTGATGAAGCCCACGGCAGGAACTGGGGAGCTGAGTACGAGGGGTTCCTTCTCTTCTCTTTGGCTGCCTCTGCTCCTGCAGAGGTGTTTGTGCTGCGCCAGGAGTGGGTGCAGATCCCCAAAAAAAGGAGAAGAAGGGACAAGGAGCTGAGAAKTAACGCAGTGTGTGTTTGGGAAGTGACTCGGGTGAATCCTTTCCGCAGGGCTGGGCCATGAACTCAGATGAGCAGCAGTGAGCYGGGGCTGTGCCCTGACACCAACAGGATGGGGCAAGAGGGATGAGTAAATTCTGGGAGACCCTGCGAGTGTCCTGCTTCGGGCTGTGGTTTTGTGAGGGCTGAGGGCTGCAGCTGCAGTGTGGGAAATGTGAGAAACACTCAGCTCTTTTACAGTACCGCAGAGCTGGGAATCAGCATCCTCCAGCCGAGAACCCCAGAGCTGCTGCTGGGGGAGAACAGGATCTGCTTCTGCATCTGTGGGCACAGGAAGTGTGACACAGGGAGATGACAGACTCACTGAAGAGCCATGGACCGACCTGATAACTGTGGGGAGCTGTGAGGGAGGAGCTGGCAGCGCTGCTGCCACAGTTTGATCTCCCTCTGGTCTTGGAGAGCAAAGCTACGGGCACATTTCACTCATTAAAATGAGCCAAAGCTCTGATCCGTTCTGAGTTTTGGAGGCTTCCAGTTCAGCCTGTTGGCAACAAAATTGATGCCCCTCCTTGAAAAGAGGGTGGGAGTAGCAGGAAGGAGGTGGGGGATGAGGGATTGGGGACCCARCCTGCACCCCAAGGTGCTTCTCACCCCGGGGAGGGCTGTTTGCTGCACTGTGTGTGCCATGGTGAGGCGGGATGTGTTGGGGACAGTTGTCACTTGTCTTGTGCCTTCTTTGAGAAGAGCTTCTTCCACCCTTGGGGATGGACACTGGGGGAGGGAGGAGCGGTGGGAGCCAGAACACAGCCCCATTGTGCGCCCATGTTTTGCTCTCTGGCCCGAGGTGATGATGGGGAGGCCTCTCTGATGCCTCTTCAGAGGGCAGGAGAAATCCAGAGGGACTCGAGTGGTGGGGCACCCCCTTTGCACGACCCTCCAGAACCTCAAGGGATAGGAACATCATCCCTTCATCAGGATCGGGGAGAGAGGAATAAAATTAACCATTGCCCCGATATCTGTGGGGTCTCACACCGTCCCAGTCCCGAGGGGAGGCTTTGCCAGCCCGAGAGGCCGGTGCAGAACTGTCCTTTTCCCCGAATTCCCAACGCTGCGGCCAGCAGATAAAGGGATGTTTGTTAGCCGGGCACACTGTGTTTTGCCGAGCAGAACAATAAAGAGAAAGACACTCACAATGGGAAATTGTGCTTCCTCCTCCCCTGTGCGCTCCTCGGGGAG